TATATATATATATATATATATATATATATATATCTTTTAACTTTATCTCTAGTTAATATAGAACTTGAGTTTTTTTTAATATTTTTTCACATTCAGTATTATTAGATTTTGTGTGTAGACAAATGATACATAATTCTTTTTAATGATGTAAAATAAGTGATATTTGATTTTTTTTTTGTGGGTACAATCCATTTATTGTATGTCATTTTACTCTCCAATAGTTCCATCAACTTGTTTCAATTGTTAATCTTTCCCTCATTAGCATATATATAGCTGATAACAAACCCTCTTTCGTATCTCTCGTCTTCTGGTTTACTTTCACTATGTACCCTATTGTTATTACTTTGCTTTGTCTTCGTCCCTTTGTCCTAGCTACAACTTCTTCCAATCACCAACCATCTTTCTTCATTCTCTCTAATCCCTTTTACTAGTTAGATTTTTTTTTTCCTATTCCCAAGAGAACAAAAGGGTCTTTCAATTTTGATTTCAACACCTTGAAATCTCTTTCTCTGGGTGGCATCATTGTTGTCCAACTTTCTTGATTAAATGGAAGGGCAAGTGGCTAAACGCAGACGTGTATACTCTGTGAAACCAAACCAAATAGCGCAATTTATATTCACTAGAAATTATTTGAACCATTTAGTTCCAGCGTTGGTGAAGATAAAGGAAACAAAATCTAAAGAAGATAACAGCCACTGTGATATTAACAATGCTGTAAAGTATGAAGTGGACATGGCGATGGTGTTGTCAGCACAAGGTTTTGCATGGAGTAAGGGCCTTAAAGCCAAGCTTCAAAGCGATCATGTCAATGCAGATAAAACCACTTGTGAAGGTTCATCAAAGATTTATGATAAAAGTGAGGTTGTCCCAATGGAATATTTCTCTTCAAACCCTAGCTCAAAGTCCAAAGTGGAGGTTTTGGGGAGCAAGTCTAAGTGCATGGACATGTCAGAAACGAAAAGGGATTTAGGCATAGAAGATGATGAAGATGAGGACATGAAGAAGCAGTGGAAGAGACTGAGAAGGTTGGTACCTGGAGGAGAAGAGATGTGTGATGAACAAATGGCTGCAGAGCTTCAGAGTTACATCAGCTGTTTGCAAATGCAGGTGAATGCTCTTCAGTTTCTACTGCCAGAGACAAGTTGATTTGTATGTCGTCCATTGATTTCCACAAATTAAGCCATAAACTATGTTACATTCAAGATTTATTAATTGCTGAACAAGTTATGGCATATATTTATATATTTTTACAACTATATATTATTAATTAGTATAAAGTATTTATTAGTTTTGTTGATGATTAATTTTTATTGAAGAACTTTTGATTAATGACTTATCGATAGAAGTTATGGTATGTTAACTTGGTTGCTGTTGTAATTTGAATATATTTTTGGTTTTGCATATATTTTTCAAACTGTTTAAGGGAGAGAAAAATGGGGAAAAAACAGGCTAGAAAGAAAGTAGTAAGTAATTAATCAGGGTTCTTTCATATCTGTGTTTAGAAGTATTCCTTCCTTAATGTAAGATGGATGAAAATGCAGGTTGGTTAATTCGAGTGTTTATTTTAGTAGAGTTTAGAGTCTAAATAAACTTATAAAGCATATATTTGTGAGTCAAAGTAACAGTAATTAACTTATTCATATTTGTCCTTTGTGTTGTGTGTTAGATTTAGTTAAGGCGAATGATGTTGTAGTTTGTTTTAGCACTTGCTTGGGTCTTGTTTACGCATTCTACGAAGTGTCCTTTTTGGACCAGCAGAGTGATGCATCATTGAGGCCTTTTCCAGCAGGTAAAAAATGATGATACAATACAACTGGCTTATTACTTTTTCATGAGTTGCTCACATTTTCTGAATTGAAGGCTCTTATAAAGGAGCAAACACATATCATTAATACTCAAGTACTGGACAAAATTTTCCATAACCAGCCTGAGAGGGGCTACACTTTTGGATTATGGGTTTTAGAAGGTACATATTTTAATTCTTAGTTTTACCTAAGGGTACGAGAATCACACATTCGCCCCCACTCAAGATATCACCGCTAACGATTGGGATTTCCTATAGTTTTTCTTTTTTCCTCTCACACAATTTGCTAAGGGTAATCACATAAAAACAATTCAAATTCTTATGCATATTTATAATTACTCTATGACATTTTGAAGGAGAGGTTAATTAAGAATGAAAAAGTAAGTCAACGTAATTAAAATAAAGCAACACGAATAGACCATAAAGGAAAATGGGGTGGATTGATCTACCAAAGAAAATGAATTAAAAAAGGTAATTTACCTTACTTAATGATGAGTTAATAAGTTGACAGGTTGACCCACTTTAGTGAATTGATGGATTAAAAATAGTGAGTTAGTAAGTTAATCCCTTAAACCCATCCAAATTAAAAAAAAAAATAATTAAAATATTTCAATATACATTATATCTTCAATCAATAATTTTATTATTATTATTTGTAAAGTTGAATAAAGGAGTTATTTTTCACGCAAAGGATCAAAATAATATATATTTTTTTAATGAAAAAACCCTATATTTTAAAATGTTATTGTAATAAACATGTGATTAAAGCAATATACTTCATGAAAATAATTATCTAGATAGAGAAGTTAAATGATAAAAAATATTGATTCAACATAAATTTATTACAAATTTATCTTTTAAAAACATTAAAATAAAATAGATCAAAGAGTTAACCTATCAAATTAGCGGATTGAATCTATTGAGTTGACAAGTTTAAATTTATTTATCTAACCTAATCTAAAAAAAAATAGACAAATTAGTGGACTTACTTCCTAAGTTCAATATACATTCTGATTTCTAAAATTCATGTTTACATGAATTGGTTTATGTTATATTATATTTTAATTAGTCTATTGTTATATTATAAATTTGAATGATAAGTACTTGAGAAGATTTTTAAGAAGTTTTTTTTTTCAATGTGACATCTTACAATAAGTACATCGTTTTATTTTATCTTTACATTTTCTATCCTTTTAAATGCTATCGACTAAATTTAATTAATTTTAATTCACATTTAAATTTTAAATCTTAATATCTCATTAAATATTTTATTTCTGAATTATTTTTGATACATCATATCAAATTAATAAATGTAAAAAGAATTTTTTTATTTAAATAATTCATCTTCATAATTTCTTTCATTAATTTAAAATTCTTATTCATTTAATTCATTTTTATATAACAAAATATAAAAATTGTGTAAATATAATGACTAAATGAGTAATTAAACCTACTATAAATAAACACAAATCTACTAACTGCATTTTATACTTATCAAGTGCTAGCCAAGCATCCTTTGAATAAATCAAGGCCTTAATTTAACCGATGAATAGTATATTAAATTTCAAAACAAATTAGAGTGGCTTGAATCTAAGAGAAAGGGAGCAAGAAAATCAAAAGTTCCCATTTAACCTGTAATAAATGAGAAGGAACACTACCACAAATTCATATCTCATTTAGTATGAGGATTTTTTGTTGAGTTTTTATATATTATTATTAAGACTCCGTTAATTAATTCATCATGTTTATAATTCTTTTTATTTAAACTAGCACGAAAAAGACACTCCGTGCCTACATTATATTAAAATAAAAAATAAATAAAAAAAGAAAAAAATGAGAAGTTACTCATAAAAAAATAATTATTGAAAAATAAACAAAGGATAAAATGGTCAAAAAATATTTTTTCTAATTTTTTAAAATAAAAGGGTATAATGGTCAAAAAAAATTGAGACCAAGGTGGTTATCAAAACGAATATCTCCTTTATATATTAATATAGATACTAGTAGAGTTACATAACTTTCGTATATGTGAATATATGGTAATAAAATTCACACATTAAATTAACAAAAAATAAAATTAAAATTGTATTCCAAAATTAAAAAGTATCATTATTTTTAGAAGACAATGTTAATTTAAAAATTCAGCAAAAAAATGTAAATTTAAATTTGAAAATTAAAAAATAAAAATAATTTTATGACTAAATTACATTTTTAGTCCTTCTAGTTTAAAATAAAGATATTTATTCCTTTATTTTTGGTCTTCCCATTAAATTGATATCTACTAATTGTTAAGTTTTAACATTTATTCATATTTAAGTGATGTGACATTTAATATGATATGTAGAAAAAAAATTATATAAAACATGCAAATAAATATTTTATTAATAAAATAAATATCAATCACTTGTAAAAATAAATATAGACAAATATTCTTTTATCCATATAGGTCACATCACTTAAGTGATAACAAATCATCAAACAATGTCAAAATTTAATAATAAAAAATGAACATTAAATTGACAATAAAAATAAAAATTTTATATTTTTAAAAATAGAAAGATTAAATGTTTCTATTTTAAAATAAAAAGATCAAAATTATGGATCTATAAAAATAGAGATTAAAATTAAATTTAACCTAAATTATTTTTACACGATAAAAATAATTTTTTTAAAAATATAAAAGATCAATACTAATTTTTATAATAAGATAAAGGATAAAGATATATTTAGTGTAATAAACAGAACAGCAAAGCAGAAAAGGCGTAAAAGCCCAACATAATGGCTGAATAATTGGTAGAAGCCCAGTTTAACCCATTTAAGTTAAAGGCCTAATTGCTCAAAGCTCAATGCACATGCGGTCGCCCTACCGAAACTGTAAATAGAACTAGTATGTGGCCTATGACCTTATGGGTACTACTTTTATCTTTAAAATATTTGTCATTTGGGCCTTCAACTTTTCTCATTTGTAGAAGGCTCATAATACATACACCTCCTTTTTTTTTTATAAGTACACCTCCTTTTAAAAAAAATTATAAAATATTATAATTTTTTTCAAAAAATTTTAATTTTATACTTTTAACTTTCAATTTGTTACTTTTTTCTTCTTATTCAAACACTTTTTTTTTTCTCTTTCAATTTTCACATATTACCAAAATAGATAGGGTGAAAGAAAAATAAAGGGATGCATGTAAAAATTGAAAAAAAGAAAAAAATGTGTGAAAAAAAAGTACTAAATTAAATGTTGTAAATGTAAAATTAAAAGTTTAAAACAAAATTAAGAATATTTTAAAATTTTAATTATTTTTTTTAAAAGGAGGTGTACTTATAAAAAAAAAGGAGGTGTATATATCATGAACCTTGTAGAAAATGAACTAAGCCTACTCCAGTTTTTTTTTTTTTTCTTTCTTTCTTTTATCATGAGCCAACCCCAGTTTTGTTACCCACTGCAAATGAATAATACTTAATACAGATCAAAATTAAAAGGCCAGAAAAGAACGAAACCAGCCATTAATCAAAACTATTTTGGTTTCACTAAAATAATAATTTAATGACTAAAATTGTTAAATGCTATATCGTAAACTATTTTTGTGATATGCATCTCATTTAAAGAGTTTTTCTCCTTATTTAGTAGTGAGACTTATCAAAGTGTGTCTTTTTTTTATTTATTATTATTATTAAATTTCATTTGATAAAAATAATTGTTAGAAACAGTGTTAAAAAAATATTACTAATATTTCTGATAAAATATAAGAACTTTTCTATATTATCCAAACCTTTTCACCACTGGCAGCCAACCCAATATATTAGAAGGTGAATTATTTACAGTTGGACTCAAATTTAAAGGTAATTTGCAGGCTATATTTCTTAACTTTTCTTAAATTAAAAAATATTTACCGTGATTCTCTGAATTCTGCTATGACTGTTTTTAGTTACAGTCCTATCTGATTTTAACTTTAGCATGTTCCATCGGTATTTACTAATTACTGAATCTAAATAATAATAAAAAAATCTAAATTAGTTTTTGCTCGTAACAATGGTGGCACGTGGCAAGTGGAGAACCACGAAATTAAAATATGAGAAGAGAGATTGGGTTGGTTTGATTAATATTAGTGATAGAAAAACGTGGTCGGAACAGAAGCTATTGACATGGTGATTCCAGAAATGTCCACCTTAGCCTCCTCGAACCAAACCTTCCTCACCAACGCCCTCACTCCACTTACCCACAACCCAAAGTTGAGGATCAGAACTGTTACTATCCCTTGTCTCAAAACTCTATGTTGCAGTTCCCCACAACAAGCTCCAAGGTATCATATTCATATGCATTATGAATACAACACTCTATCTTCGATGTTCCAAAAAACGAATTTGATGAGTTTTGTATTAACAGGGAGAAGGAGAAGAATGAGAACAAGTTGGGAAAGCTGGTAATAGTTGCAGTGGCTGCTGGGGTCTTAACACTTGGCTCAGTTCATGATGCATCTGCCGCCAAGACTGGTGGCAGAATTGGTGGCCAGGCCTTCAAGTCACCGCCTCCCCGCTCTGGACCAAGAATCAACAATTCCAGGTTGGATCAATGCTATTGCTCATTTCCTTTCCTCTTATTTACTTCTGCCTCATCTTTTCACCTCTCTTTTTTACTTCATTATATTCCTATTGTTAAGTTCAGTGCAAACCCCATCTTTACAAGCTTTTAAATAAGTTAAGCATGCATCTCTCAAGAGGTCTTAGGTTCAACTCCACCTTCTGTTAGGATTTTTTGTAATTTGTTTGAGGCACATATAATTTTCAAGAGGGGCATGTTATCTTGCTATGTTTTGGGTGTTTGCGCGCAACTAGCTCCACTGGTAAGATATTATTTATTTTGGACTCATCTCTCATGGTTTGCTTTTGATCACCCTCTTGTTTGTATTTCAAAACCTTCATCATTATCCCAACTTTTATTTTACTACCAAGTGCGTGGATCAACCGGGTACAAAGTTATTTAGGTTTTAATCTCAAATTCAAGTCCTTGCAGCTGTGTTAAAATAATAGAAATAACTCTTATCAAGAATTTATGTGATTTGTACAAAAGATATAAAGGCAGTAATTGTTAATCATCATTCTAGCTCACATTTTTTTTTTTGCTTCATTAGTCATGCCTGAAGCCCTGAAATCTGTTGCCTTCGGAAAAATATATGATCGACACAAAGGTGTTAAGGTTACATTACATGTATGGGTTGGAAAACGTTTTTTGCCAACAAAATGGGACAACCTTCTTTTTTGTTTTTTGTTCACCTTGATTATTTTGGGGATGTATTGAGTTAAGGAGTCAAACACTAGGGAACACCCTATCCGTGAGTAGTGAATAAATCAAATAAGTAAACTTAATATCACAACATAATCCAAAATCTTAGACATTAGATAGATAAATCTTTCTCACTTATATACTAATTAACATGCTCAATTCTAACAGATGTGGAACTCACTTCATACTTGAAGTCCAACATAACCTAAAATATTAAGGACAACCTTCTAAGCACTCTATGTATGAGTAATAAATAAATTACATAATAGAACTTAAGACCACAACATAATTCAAAATCTTAAGACATCACGTAGATGAATCTTTCTCACTTATATACTACTTAACATGTCCAACTCTAACAAATATAGGATTCACTTCACACTTGAATTTCAACAAGGTATAGTTTTAAGACGTGTGCATACAAAAATATAAAATAAAAAGTGAAATAGAAATGATTATGCATGAGCAGTTAATTCTATGATGTTTAAATTATGATGGAACTGTACCTGGTTTTCCTCCTCTTTTGTTTTACTGCGGAAGTTCTTGCAGAATTTCATTTGAAGGTTTCCATATAAAAATACAAAATGTTTAGTGTTCTGCAGAAAGTAGACAGATCTATTATATTTAAATATATTTGATATATGGTATTCATATATCCTGGAGTTGGATTATCATCAGAGATGATATATTAAGTCACTTATATAACATTTGAGCTGACTTATCTTGGGAATTTATGTGAATTGACAGGACCAATATCTATATCAATCCTCCAGTGGCACCTCCTCTTGTTGGTGGTTATGGCTATGGTTATGGTTCGCCATTCTACGGTGGCTGGGGATGGTCTCCGTTTTCATTCTTTGCACCAGGTCCCAGTGTAGCCGTAGGCGTTGGAGGTGGATTTGACACTATTCTTCTCTTTATGTTTCTTGGTGCTGCTGCGGCAGTTTTCAGGAGATTCTTTGGGTCAAGAAATGAAGATGATGACTACTAAAGAGATAGAGTGCGTTAAGTCCATGTATAGAAGAATGCCAGAGTCACCAATTAATTACTTTCATGTGTATTTTGAGATATTATACTTGAATTTACATCCTTGTTACACGGGGTGAAATGAAGCAATAGAGATACATCATACTCATTCAAGGAAAGTCTTCATTTACACTAGTTTTACGAGAATTAAGAAACTAGATGTTTGTTTCATATATTCCAATTGAAATGTAAGAAGAATGGTTTCCTTGGACACCTTATCCATTAGGTAATATTGCCGCTAATAGGTCAAAGTAGAAAGCATCTTCCCAACCCCCATGACCATGACAAAACTGGTATACTATGAAAATTTAATTTATTTTCTTCTTTTACAAGTGCTTATGGAGTAATCCTATTATAAATTTGACCTGTAAAGTAAATTACTGGTTTGACTAAATTATCTAATAAATAACTAGTTAGAAACAAAAAGGGGTAACAAATTGAGATTATATACGCAAAAGAAGGCTTTCTGAAGTGTTTGATGCATTGGGGTGAGCGTAGAGCTTTGATACTGTTAGGCCCATGACAACTTCTTTGGGCCATTTCACTCTATTAATTTTACTCTCAGCCTCTCAATCTTCTATACTTGCTTTACAAATCATTTCGGTGCTTAGCAGAGGGAAAAACATTATGAGTTTATGAAGAAAGACAATGATAGGTAATGCACGAGTTATGAAACTGAAACTCTCTGAGTACAGTACACACTAATAAAGAAGAACAAAAAGAATTTGTAGTAATAATAATTGTGCATGAAGTAATTAAAGCCCAATAGTTAGAATAGCAGTTGAAGTAAATATTAAAGGTGCATTTGAAAAAGTTTATTTACTTCTTTTAATTCGTAACTAAGTTATATAAAGATAGAACCTGACACTTTGTGCAAATTACGTCACTAAACCTATTCATTTCCGGTGGATTAAATTAAAAATACTCCATGATAACTTGTAAAATTATTTTACAACTTGTATAGAAATAACTTACGAAAAAAGATTTACATAATGAGTTATGTACACGTAGTGAATGATATAGAAAAAGAAATGAGTAGAGTTGAGAAATTGATGGTGGCGTGGGTGTGGAGCACTCGACCACGAGGTGGTAGCAATTCAACACTCAGTCGCACTGGGGTTTGCCACAACAACTAACCAACCAAGTGTTTGATTGATTTACATCAAAATCGTCCATTTCCTCTTAACCTACTTTCTCACATTTCCATTTGGTCTCTGTTCACACTACCTTCTTAAAAGGAAATATTTCTAATTTAAAATATTGTTAATTTTTTAAAAACTTTTTATAACTTTTTTTTTATAAAAAATTTTAAGCTTAAATCTAAATAAGTAAAAAAATAATCTAAATGGTATCCGTACAGTGGATAATACAAGGAAGAAGACTTCTAAGAAAGATATCTTTTTGACCCAGAAAAAGCAATCCTATCCTTTGCAACCAAAAGAGAATCTTTCTCCCCCCCTTTTTTTTTCATGACCGTTCCTTTTTATCCGAAATAAATAAATAAATAAATAAATATAACATGATGATATTCTCAACATTTCCCATCGTCATTTTGGCTTAAGATTTGCATGTAGTAAGTAGTAGAGGGAAGGTCCATTCATGAAGAAATTCGTGTATGTCTACATAAAGGTTTTCTGGATGTATCGTTAAATCTTCTCTTTGAAGATATTTCATCAATCAATTGACTTTAACTAAACTTCAATTACAAGGAGAAACGAAATAATAATAAAAAAGACTAAATGTTACTCTCCCTCCTAAATCTATCTATACCATATACATTTCAAGGAACATAGATTCCAGTAAAAGATACAATTTTTTCCTACGTTTTGATATATATATATATATAAAGCCCAAAGGTTACTCCCACTCCTAAATCTGTATTTATATCTATATCTGTATTATAGTAGATTTTAAGAAAACACAAATGAAAACTTAATACAAGTGTAATCCTCTCATGCATCTCACAAAATTGCAACAATATTCAAAAAACATGCTACTTTGAGAATTATTTGTGTTCATTTATTTAAAAAAAAAACAATAATGTTACAAGACAAAACAAAACGAACAATAAACAGATGAATCAACAACCCAAGCCCAAAACAAAACATGTTGAATGTTTAATCTGACCCCCAAAAGAGTATATTGGAGAAGAGACAAAATTTGAGTAATCAAATGCAGAAAAGTTAGAACGTAAAAGAAGGAAAAAAAGTGAGTTGAATGGTTCAAGAAATCACGAAAATTGAAACATCTAAGAGAAAATTGGGTAAAAAGGTTTAGCACACTTATGAATTTTGTATTTGAATGTCACTTACAATTTTCTAAAAATAAGATCAGTCAGATACATGCAATGCACGGTGAGACTTGAGCATTTTAAAATATTTGATTTTGAAATTGAAATATATTTTTGATGGCTTAATTATTTTTAAACCCTTATATGCATATCATGTTCTAGTTTAAACTTGGTGTGGTGAAGATTTCTAAGTTAAAGTTTAAATATCTAACAAATTTTACATTGCTTCTAAAATCGGTTATGAGAAGGAAAATTGAAAAATCATCATCTGAATTGTCTGATTATGAGTAATATTGCTATAAGTAGTGATAATTATATAACATATCACCACAAATATAAGATTACTAATTTTCATCTTTGAACTAATGTAATTACGTTGGATAATGTTTTTATGCTTGAAGTAAGCTACAATTTTGTTTCTCTTTCAAACATTACATTATAAGTCATTTTTATGAGATTGAGTTAAGTCTAATTTTACATTTCTTAAAATAATATTAGAGTTTATCATATTAATTATTGTTAAGTTTATCGTGTCACTAATTATTAGGCCACTATCAAATTACCCTTAAATATCATGTTCTGTAAACTTTACGTTTGAGATGTTTAGTTCTTAATGCAAAAAATATGTGTTAGAAATCTTATATTAACTAATAATGAGACTTTATTAGAGTATACAAATTTTATAAGCATGAGTTAGGTGCAAAATTGATATTACTAAAAGTTAAATTAAGTCCAACTTATAATTTTTTTTTAGTAAATACCTTTTAAAAAATAACTAAAAAATATCTAATAAATAAACTCAAATTGGTCTAAACTTAATGTAGATGCGCGATGTCATAAACCTTTGAAGAATAATCAACCTATTTCTATTTTTTTTTATCCAATCAATCAACCTATTCCTATACCTACAAATGATAAAAATAAATAAGCATAAGTAAAATACTTCTTCTATTTATGCACTAAAGAAGATAACACATATATTAAAAATATATTAATATTTTAATAAATTTATTTTTATCTTTAAATATGTTTTTATTATTTTTTGATTTATGATAAGTGTGTAAAATATTTAAAAATTAAATAGAAATAAAGATATAATAAGTGATGTTATATCGAGCTTCTAAATAGATAATAAGTAGAAATAAATTATTGTCTCGTATTTAGAGAAATAGAAACATGGGTGAAAGCATAATAATTTTGGCAGCAATAATTGAGGAGGATTAAAATAGTAAGGATGAGAAAATAATAATATAAATAAGAATAACGTGCGTGGGAACAAGGATACTCTTAATAATGAAGAGAGGGCATACGGTCCAAAGAAGAGATAAGGCTTCATCTCAAAATGGGGAGATTCCTTTCGTTCTTTAAATATCCATTTCATGCTTTTTATTTTTATGTTATTGGTCGGAAAGTCACACACACTCACAATGCTACCAATCTCATGCATTCAAGGTGCCATCTGAATTGGAGATTAGATCCAATCTTTTCTTTGCCTCCTTAATTTTCTTGGAAGAACAACTCTTAAAGCTTTCCATAATATATTTTTTTTTTATATTTGTTCAATATAATAATTATTCAAATTTTAGAAAACCTAATATAAGAAAACTCGCAAATTAGTTCATAGAGAAATTAATTTTAATTTTTTTATTTACTTAAAAATATTTATAAAAAAATATTTACTAATGTGGAGACATATATATGTGTGTGGTAATTCTCGGTGCACAACAAGTGGTATCAGAGCCGATGATCTAATCAGGTGAACGGCTCGACGAGTATGATGGTTGGCAGGTGGATCCAAGTTTGGGATCCCTTGTGTCGAAAGTCTTCTTAACGGTGGGTCCATGTAGAAGAGAGGCTTCCACTAACATGGAGAGTTAGGAGGTGTGTCCCGCTGTCATGAGGGAGGTCATGATAGAGCGACGGTGCAAACACTCTCAATGTGAGTGAGCTATGTGGGGCCACCATCGGATAATACTTGTAGTTTCCGCTGCAGGAGATGGATAAATCGTGATCCTTTGTTTGAGGAGAAAATTGTTGAGATGCAAGAAAAGTCGAGGTTTGAGGAGAAGATTGTTGAGATGCAAGAAAAGTCGAGGTTTGAGGGAAAGATTGTTGGGATGCAAGCAAAGTCCCACATCTTTCAAACAAGAGGATGGACATGGGTTTATATACACACAATTGTCTCCATTGGTAGAGAGGCTTTTTGGGTGATGTCCAAAAGTAAAACCGTGAGGGCTTGAGCCAAAGTTGTGGTGCACAACAATCTAAACATAAATTTAATTTTATGTTTTGTTTGGGAGACAAAGAAGAATTAAAAGAAAGGGGAGATGAAAAGAATAAATGAGAATTAATTTGATAGGAAATAAGTAAGAAATATAATAGAATTTGTAGTTGATTAGTAAAATAAAACTATGCGAGAAATAAAAGAAAGTTGATATTTTAAAATTATGTTTTTTATAGTTATATTTTTTTGTAAAAATAAATAATATATACAACTATCATTTTACCCTTCTCTTTTTATTCATGTCTATTTTTACATATATATGTCTCAAAGATAAGTTGTGGGTTAAACTTTAGTTTTGTGATTACAAAATTAATGATCAATTTTATTTAATTTAAGCATAATAATTTTTTTTTATGTTGCTATTATGATTGATATGATGTCAATGAAATAGGTACTTTTATATAAGTTTTATAATATTTTACATACTAATTATATATATAGACTAACAAGTTTATGTTATTAAACTTCTCTATATTATATCACGTGTAATAATTAGGATAACTAAAATTTTCTTAGTAACAACTTTTTTTTTTGTTTTTAACTTTTTTAAGTATAATTTAGTACCAATTAGACAATACTATCAATAAAAATAAAGTATTGTCATATAAACTAACTTAAAAAATATATCGAGTAATGC